TGACCCGACACAAATCATAAAATCTTCCCGTAAAGTAAAAGTAGTCATTACTGATAGTACACAAAAGTTACAACATGTTCTTAATGATGCAAAAATAAAAGCATTTTAAAGATTATAATATCTGTAGCTTTGTACTTGATAACTTGTAAAAAATACAACATTTTATAAGCCGATGATATTTCTATATAAAACCAAATCTTCCTAGTAACTATAAAATAAATGTAGTTTAGTGAAAAACTGTAGAGGATGTCAAAACTAAAGTTAAGTTCAGCGCTTCAGTGAATACAGCAGTTTATTCATAGAATAACAACAAAAATAAAACTGAGTTTGTTATAATAAAAATCTTAATGTGGATAAGTTACATTTAAAATAGGACATGACCGAACATGTTTCCTTTCACTGATCCCTACAAGCTAAACATGGTGGTTTGGTCAGGGACTGTTTATTTAAGGCGTATCAGTTAGCTTAATATGTCATAGATAACCAGTTATAAGCTATGTGCACTCTTCAGTTTGTATAAGAGAATGGTGATACTGGCCAGATGAGAATCAGATTTTTGATTTAAAAAAAAAAACAAATATATGTCAGCCGGACATGCTGGTTGAATCTCGGTCTTTGTGTGCAGTTGTGTTTCTGCGTGTTTCAGAAGCCATCGGCTGCCGAAGTATCAGCCTCTGTAACCACAGATAGCACCTGGCCTTTGTTGAAAAGACTATTTACATATCAAACACCCTCCCGCCTGTTGTTGCTCCCCGCATGGAAGACGCAGACAGAAAAGACGGGAATTTCTTCGGGGGAAAAAAATATAAACTAAACAAGGAAGTGAAAAGAGTTATAATGAAGGCAGGCAAACTGTGTGGAGCTCCGTTTACTGATAAACACACTGGGCCTTTATAGTGTTACAATAAAATGGCACACCAGGACACAGGCACACAAACGCACACAAACAGGGCGGTGAAGACAAGTTGTATAAAGTTTGACTAGAATTTCAGAAGCTTTTATTTTCTTTTTTTTTTGGTTGGGCGGTGGGGAAGGGGACGATAGAGAGAAAAGGGGGAAGTAGAGGAAGTGGGGGAGTCGGGGGAAGCCGAGCGTACACTTGACACTCAGCTAATGGTAAATCCTCAGCTTTATACTGTAATTTACTGCAGAGCCTTCAGGCCAAACAGCCTTTGAAGTGCTTGGAAATGTCAAATCAATTATTACTTAAATGAAAAAAAAGGGAAAAAAAAGAATTCAATTTACGCGTTTCATGATAATCGGTAACATTTCTAGATAGAAAAAAAAAAAGCAAAGCAATTTAAAGCGATTTGAGCCCCGGCTCCATTTTTCTCTGCAATTCTTTTTTTATTCGTCCTACACAGATATGCTGATTGGAATATAAAGTTGTTGATGATTGCGTCTTTTCTTCGTCTTCTCCTTTCTTGTGCCATCGTGATCGCAGAGTAAAGAAAATCAATTTGGCAGTATAATACTCTTCATCAATTGGAACTGGGCGATAATGATGTTCTACACCTGCGAGTGTGTGTGTGTGTGTGCTCTAAGTGAGAAGTGTTAGGGAGAGTAGCATGGAACAATACGCCTTCTTCATGATTCATTACGTCCTAATGTCGTTACATGAATAAAGACAGCTCGTGCCCTCTGAATTACACACTCCTCGCGCTAATGGTTCTGAAAATAGGCTGAGCGCAGCCCTCCTCGCCTCGATGTGCTCTTTGTTCATGGACAGGTAAAGCAGACGAGCTGCGAAGTGTGACGCTTTTCTCCGAGTATTGTTCATGACATCTGTATCGGCGCATCGCTTCCCGTGAAAGTCAGAGGCCTGAACTTTCAGTGAGTCATTCCTCTTTGCTTGGCCTTCAGTGAAGCTGCTGGCTAAAGAGTGCGCACAAGAATGAGATAGTATGTTTTCATGCTAAACTCAGAGGTATTTAGCTGTGCACATAATTCATAGCCCAAGACTTAAATATTTAGCAGGTTGTCATGTACTATTTCAATCATTGTGTCCAATACTTTTTGTCAGTAGGAATTAATATTGGCCCTACCATGTGACACACCACATTAGCCTTTCCTACACAGGACAAATTTAACAACGAGCATATTAGCCAGCTAGCTCGTTGCCCAGCAAGGAGATATATTTGAGTCAGTATACATCATTAAGTTGCACCCAAGACAAAACCAGCCAAATCTGCGTTCAGATTTTGCTGCAGCCCTTGGGAAATTTTCTTCCCTCTGAGGGATCCTTCACCCCAAAAAGTCTGAGAAACTCTGGCTACTCCAGCTAAAGTCACAGCGCATGCATTTATGTTCCCTAGTGCCCACAATGAGACAAGCCTTGGATGACAAACCTTTAGCAGCTCCACTTACGGGTCACAACATGAGATCATCTGCCGCCATCTCACCCTGTCCCTAGCATCCTCCTCCATGAATCTACATCCATGAACCTCTCAATATTCATCAAACCATCTCAGCTTCGTCTCTCTGTTGTCTCTCTCGCTTCCTCTAACTCAACCAAAGCACAGTGCTTTACAAAATATGCAAGAAAACCGCTCCCACTAAAGTTGCAAACAACAAACTTCTTTAATTTGGGAGCAAAAACACACTGTCGAGCACAACCAGGCTAGGCAGGATAACATACTAACCAAACGTAAAATGGCTCATACAGCATCACCGGACCAATCCCTAGTAACAATATTGTGAAGCTGGAGTAGAGTTTACTTATTCTTAAACTGTTAAGTATTGAGTAGTTTACTTGAAATGTACAATGCAAGCACTCCTTAGGCTGCTTCTGTGCTTGCATTTGTCACCACTATTGCCTATTGCACTGTAACGCTGCTGCAGGTATATTGTTTCAGTAGATTCACATGACAGATTAGTTAGTGTGTCAGCAGTGACAGTAGCTCACTGGAAAAGAATGATGGAGAATGTGATTCATTTATTTACACTTATATAAATACTGTTTCCTGCAAGCTGCAAGCATTAATAAAAAGCTGCTCAGTATTTTTATTGTATATCATCACAAACATCTAATAATCTATTCCAAATAGCTCTCTCTCTCTCCACACACACACACACACGCACATATATATATATATATATATATATATATACACATATACATATATATATACACATGTAATTTTGAGGGTATATCGCTCAGTTCAAATCCATAATCCTCATCAGTTTTCAGTTCTCAAATGAGTTAAAACACTGATCAGTTGCCTCTACATAACTAAATACATAAGCAGAAATATGAAATATGATATTGAAATCAGTCTTTATGTAGACTTTCAAAGTTCTTTTAATTAGAAGTCTCAAGACTGGAGTGGCACTTTGACCACTCTGGTAAAAAACAAAAAAAAAACAAAAAAAAAAACGAGAGCTCTCATGCTTTAGTTTCCACCTTCCTCAAACCCTCTTCTTTTGTTATTTTTGCAATTAATGTATACCAAAAAACAAAAAAACATGTGATTCTAGACCTCTGGTGGCTCATGAGTTTGGTTTTGCTGGTACATCATTTTGTTCTCAACAAATTACAGAATGTCTGTCAGTAAGGTTTTTCATCTTTAATACTTCATTCATCAAGATGTGATGATGTGTCATTAAGTTTTGTTTTAGTGTTATGCCATTCAATACCATTATTACTTTACTTTCCCAAAATTTGACTTAATTTTTTCCAAAGAAGACTCCTAAGTAGAAAACAGCATTGCAACATTCAAAGGGAGAAGTCACTGACTCATCATGCTGTAAAATGAGACTTGTTTTCTCCTTCGTTTCTCTGTCAAAAGAAAGGAGAATGTAATCGTTCCATTTGTTTGTCTGTTTATTCGTTAACAGTCTGGCGTCCATGGTTTTCAAGTTATCATTTTCAAAGTTTTTGTGACGGTGGATACCAATAACGACTCGAGCTGATTTGTTTTTGATGAAAATCTGGTCAAGGTCAAGGTCACACTAAATGTGAAAATCAGTAAAAACGTTACATTTCCCACAGTTTATTTTGAACAACGCCTCCAGGGACATGAGTACTTATGCTAGCTAACCATTTGACCACGACCTTCGTTCGTGATCAAAGTCAGAGTCGACTTTGAAAAAAAATTAAAGAAACCATATTAAGTAATATGTCGTATGAAAAGGCATGGAGAGACAATTTTCATTTTTTCAATATGATGCCCTACAATTTGACAATGACGCCATACAGAAAAATGTCATAAAATGTCAGGTTTTTACAGCTTCTAAAAACCAAAGATTTCAACCAATACTGCACCAATCATATGGGTATGAGCATGTAACGCTTCAAGGCCTTCAGTGAAGCTGCTGGCTAAAGAGTCAAGGTCAAAGTCAAAGTCAGAGTCATACAAATTAGGAAAAAGCTGCAGTTCCCATTGGATAATCTCTTAAAGGAGTATAAGTCAGTGGGGAACAAAAGCGCTTCCTTTGTTTGAGCTCTTTCAAACTTTAACATTTTTTCAATATAACATTATATTCACAATGACACAGTGACACTAGATTTCCACATTACCAATCCTAACATCAATTTGATTTTGTTAGATATACTGTAGTGTCTGTAGGAAGTACAGTCTATTGTTGTGTGAATCTGGTGATTGGCATGCCTAAGATTATTGAAATCTTGCATCACACACTGAGGTTCGTGGTCACTTTTCTGAGCTACTAAAACTGCACACAAATGCAGCATTGCAGACATTTCAATCAAGCCAATCAAAGAAACATCAACCACATGCAGTTTATTGGTGTGTAACACATTTATGACTTTAGGTCATGAGAAACAATTTCAAGACGAATCCTTGGCATCACATTTCTTCGACATTTACGTGGAACGAGAAAAGAAGAGGAAGTCCAGCACGCGCCATATTCACATGTCCCTCCTGAGTCGCTGTACTTTATTTTCAGGAGTTTCCACATCTGAAGTTGTTTCAATGTCATTTTGGGAACAGAAAATGGAAGAAATATTATCACAAACATTTCAATTTGCTATCTGACAGTGAAAACTACTACTACAAAGCCAGCAGGGAAGATGAGGGAGAAGATGCGGGCCGATACCAAACTACTGCATCAACAAGAAAAACTTTACAATGGCAGCTTGGATGGTGAGTGGAGGACGACACTATTAATAATCTCCTCTCACTAGAGACAGAAGACAAAACAAGCATTTTATCCAACTATTCTTTTAACCAGGAAGTGAAACTGTTTTGTTAGAGATCCTCGGACCAAGATAGGCAACAGAGAAAACCTGCACTAGCATCGAGAAGCACATTCCTGGAGTTGTGTTACTTTGAGCATAACTGTCTGAAAAAAAATAAAACTACTACAAAATAACATTTATTGGCAACCAATTGCACTTCTGAGTAGTCCAAACTGTCCAGGGGAAAGGCCACAAAGGAGCAGAAAGCTGAGAGCTCAAGAAGCTAAAATGAAAAGAGTAAAGACAGGGGGGGAAAAAACTCTCTAAAGGTCTATTATATATGACTCATGCAACATTACCCATATGATAGCAAATATTTTAACAAAAGGTTCCTATTGGTCACACAATATTATCTCACCCTTGGCAGAAGGTCGACCACCCTGCGTGACCACTCAGACGGTCTCAGTGACTCCTGGCCTGAGTCAGCTGCCTGGATGAGGAGGCAGGAAAGAGGGCAGACAGACACACTGCCAGGCACCCACATCTCTTTCTCTCTACTCCCTTTTGTGTACCGTGTGGAATAACATACCTTTTACCCCCTCCCACCATCATTCCCTCCCTCTCTGTAAAGCGATCGGGGCCTCTGATAGTGATGGTGATTACAAAACCACAGGAGCAGCCTCCCCACCAAAACAAAGTGTTTTTCAGCTTCTGTTTTTTTCAGGACCTGGCGCCACCCGGAGTACCGTAAACAATAAACACGGGCCAACGCGAGGCCGTCCTCCACGTTTTTCTCTAGCTGATTCACTCCAGGGGAACACGCACACATCATCACAGGTACAGTGTCTCATTGTGAACAATTGCATTCAGAGTCAGAGCGTGCAGACTGACTGACAGCTATAAGTTCATGCACTTCCTGTGAACTTGTCATCAACCAAACACATGCACACACACAGGTGGCCTCGGCTAAGTTTTGCTTTGCCGCGGCTTATCGACTTCACCTGCCCTTTGTCTGCGCGACCTGAGTCCTTTTAACAAGCATGCATATGCTACCTTTTGTTGAATCTAGTGTTAAAAAAGTGTCCTTTCCACTGTCTCGGCCTTCCTATCTTTACATCTTCCATGGCCAGCTCGCAGCCCCAGCCTGTGTCGAAGCAGTTCTGTTAAACGGTGGACTCGTAGCAAATTGACTATTACTTCAAAGTGGCCTGTGATTATGTCCCTGAGTGATTAGGGGGGCTGTTAAGAGGGAGCCACTTGAGCATTGCCAGTGAACCCGTGAAGGAATGCCGGCTCAGTGCCGAACGACGGGGGAAAGCGCCGCCAGAGACGCACAAATCCCAGAAAGGCAACGGCCGTGCAGGCACTGCAGAAACCTGAGGGTGGAGAAGCAGGAAAGGCAAGAAAGACAGAAAAAGAAAGAGTTGGGCAGCTCGTACCTGCATATCACAAAGTTTAAAAAGAAGCTACACAAAGTTTTAAGACAACCAGGAAGCCAAAGGGATGAAGAGAAAGATTGAGATATAAAATAAAACTTAAAGAAAAAAAAAGTCAAATGAAATGAAGGTTTTATGAGGTGGGGTGCACTCAGGGCGGCAAAATCATTAGCTAAGCACATCAGGAGACAAGACCTCCAAACACTTCTATTACATTTCAATTGTTACCAGATTTTCCAACTTTTCAGCACCAAACTGTTCTTGTTTGCCCTTTTTCCCCTTCATCTCCACATCAAACGGACAACAGAGACAAGCTGAAAGAAAAGGAGGAGGAGGGATGAAAGACGGGGAGGGAGAGAGAGAGGGAGTCTGGCGGTGGAGAGACCCGGGGAGCGAGGCCTCGAACGCCTGTTTTAATGGGAATAATAAGCTTCTATCTCAGGCAATTAAGTCTGCATTCGATACTTATCTCAGAGCAGAGGTCCACTGTGCCATCTAAAGAAAATGTTTGCGTTTGAAAAACTCCATCACATAAACAAGATAAGCGGGAGAACACGTATGCGTGCTGCCTATCGCATCCAACCTCCGCTTTGTTCTTGGAGGGATAAGTGACTCTGAAGCAGGTTTTTTTGGACAGCTAATGTCCTTGATTCCTCTGTTACGGATACACCGCATGGTGTTGGTCTACAGCCAAGGAAACAGAAAACAACAAGATGACCACAACAGTAACAGGATATATCAGCCTGTATGTGTTTTCAAAAGCTGACAGCAGGCATAAAATACCAAGTAAAATCACTGATACTGGGAATGTTATACATACTGCCTTAAATGTAACCACATTCAGAATGAAATCATAAAGACACAATGCAGAAATCCACAGTTGTCTTGGCTATTGGGTTCAAACTTAAGTTTGTAGTTTTGTTAAGATGGAAAAATGTCAGGCAGGTCCTAACTATTAAGATGATGCTCCTGTTTTAGCCTGCAACTTCTGCATTTTCATGCCAAACAGCTGTGTCACATGGGCAAACATGTAGAATCTCTTCTTAGCCAGCAACAAGCTAAAGAGATACTGACAAAGTAAATGTGGCAAGTTGCTTGCCTTTAAGAGCTTCATGAAGCTACAGGAGTAAGAATTGATATGGCCACTACGATGTTACCCAGTGGATTGTGAAGTTTCGTTAGCTGATTGTAATTTTCAAAAATTGAGTTTTCTATTCAGCGTTATCTACAATTAGCGGCCGAATCCATGAACCCATCAGTAAAGTGTACACTGAGGTCACAGAAAAAGGAAACCCAGGGCTCTTTCTATACAGCCAGAAGTCTTTTCTGTGCTCTCAGATGCAACTTCAGACCCTGATGTTGCCTCCACACCGTCTGTGGTGCAGCCCATCAACTGTCATAAAATGATCAACTATGAGCTCACTATAACTCGTCAGAGGCTGTGAGATTTTACACTAGGTGTTTTTTAACATTAAATAATTTCTTGTCTACTCTATTGCCCAAAACTATTTTTAAATAAATAAAATCTGATACTTCTTTGATTATTATTACATTCTGTTGTTAGTAAAATTTCCTCTTTCGTATGAAAATACTTTTGTCTTTTTATAAATCCTCAGATTTTCTCAGGACACCATTGAGAAACCACAACCCCTACATTAGGAACCAGTGATTCAAATACAGTATAAACTGTTGGTGTATAATGTCTGCAAATGAATTACATTTTTAATCTACAGTTAACCCTATTTTAATGTTGATACTGAAACAGCCTCACACCTGCAAATGACTAAATCAGTACCTTACAATGAAGAAGCATTCCCAGAACAAACTCTTTCATATAATTAGCACATAGCAAAGTATTTAGCAACAAATAACGCTCTGTAATTGCTGAATAAGCAGTTGTGTGTCAGACAAAGGGAGTGATGTGTCAAGATAATGGTTTTCATTATCTGTGCAGACACCAAGGCAGGAACATGCATGCGTTTTCATTCCTGTCAGTTTTTCTTCATGCATCATAGGAGCATTATCAGAGGTTCACATCTAGTGCTTTATCTCCATCCAGGTCATGACCTGTACCTGTCCGGTATCACAAGAGACATCCTAATTCCTGAAATACAACTGGTCAGACTGCTGGTGTTTACTGTAAAAGCAGAACCCCCCCAACTGTCACAAAAGCCCCATAATGCTTTTTCATAGAGGAATCACTGGGGTTTTTGGTGTGTAAGGAGTTTCCCTCGCAATGCAAAGTTCCCTGAAACACCTGCGTTTGCACTTTAGACATAGTCAATTTCACTTAAACTTCCTGGATGGACTTATTCCAACAGATACTGTCAGTTAGTTGATAGTGTAGTATAGCCAGCATGCTACATATCTTCACACCACGTATTTCCTCCTAGGATTTCCCGACTTTTAAGCATATTAATCTTTGAAACAATCAGCCAGTTTATCAATAAAGAATACATAAATGTAAATTTCAAATAAATAAATAAATGTTTCTTATGTCTGTGTTTTTGCTAACATGGTGATTTGTTAATGTTCTCTTCATACATAGATTTATTCAAATGTTTCTATGTACAAACTAACTAAAATGCTCACAAAATGTATCCACGATGTCATCAAGAGGTAATAAGAACAGTGCATTTTGTGTTTATTAAAAATAGAACTGTTGTGTTTTAATATTGCATTAATTTAAAGGTAAAATTTTAGTAGCTAAAGGGACATCTGGCTGAATATGCACAACTTTGTGTGGATAAACACATCAAATCAAACCACACATGCATAACGCATCAGAACGCACCTCATTAAACTGGTCGTCATACATCTGTCGCACCCATCCTCTGTTCTTGATCATTTCATATTCTGCAAATTAGTTTTATTAATTTGATTAATATATATTTTTGGTTTATTGTATTATTGTTTATTATTGTTTTTCACTCTCCCATGTAAGGTGACTTTCAATATTTTAAAAGGTACCTAAAATCAATAATAATAATAAAACTATTTTTATTATTAACAATTTTTTTTAGCAAAGTCTCATTTGAATACAAAAATATTTGAAATGTTTCAGGGTGACATGGTGTAAATAACATTTCTCAGCGCACAAGAACAAAACAACAGTTAACACAAAATAAATCTGTGTAAAAAAACAAAAAAACAAAAGCTTCAGGTTTTCAGTTTTTGGGGTTTTTTTGTTTTACAAAATATTATTTTTTCTTTTTCTACGTGTGTTTTGCACGTCAGGGTAACGTTGCCTAACGTGAACTGGATGATCGTTTCTGCATAGCTGAATTTTTCTGCAGGTCAGGACACGGAGTCCAACCCAATACACTGAGGCTCTTGTGATGCTGAGAGCCAACGCCACGATGGGGGTCACGACCCCAGCCAGAGTGTCTCAGAGGTCAGGGGGTCAGGTCAGTCAGAGGGGAATGTTATCCGAAGCATCAGAGTTTATTTGTTTAATTTTCTGTGTCTGCCTCTGATCAAGATGGCTGCAGATTACCATAAGAAGAGGAGAGAAAGTGAGACAGGGAGAAAATTGAGGAAGAGAGAGCCTACTGCTTCAAATTAGGCTGGAAAAATAATCCTGCGTTACCTCAACCAAACATCATACTTTAAACTTATTGTCCAAAGTCAAATAAGCTTTACAAACCACAAAAACACTCTCGGACCAGGAAGGCTGTGATTCACATGAAGGTCACTCCGAGTGTCGTGAATATTTTCTCCTTTCAAACCAC